TTTCCATTTCTCTCTCACAGACAGCAACTTGAGATGAGAGGAAGCTCAGAGTCTAAGATTTTATCTAAGGAGGGGATGGGAGGGGGGTCCCCCACCATAAAGTGGTCAGCACTGAGCACATCCCTAGTGTGAGAGGACTACCTTAGGAGGTCTCTGTTCCCAGGTTCAAGCCCCAGCCACTCAGACCTGACACTTTTCATCGGGAAGCCCACCAGATACCTGGAAAGTTCTGAGCTCTCTAGCTCACTGACAACATAGGGAAGCCCTAGCCCCCACCATCCCTATTAATAAATTGATTGCAGATGAACGGGGCCCTCTCTGCATTAGGTTGATAATATTGTTTTCATAAGCCTCCGCTAATTAGTGCCTACCCCTAATTGTGACCCTACCCTTCAAAGGGATTGGGCCACAAAATGGCTGAGCTCTCAAGGACTGCTGGGAGGTGCTTATAAATAGTCAATCCATTCTTTGCCCACCCACACCATTCGGCACAGCCTTGCTAGGCAGTCTTCAGCAGCAGGGTGTGGTGGGGAGCCTTGGAGAGCCTTGGGTTCCATCCTGGCCCAGCCTTACACCAGCTGAGAGACGGTGAGTATAGGACTTGTTTGCCTTTTGGTGTCATGGTGTCTTTACCAATCTAATGTAATGTAGTTCATGAGACTCCTCCTATTGTGAAATTTCCCATGTGAGTTCTGGAGAGACAGCAGCCCACCCAGCTCAGGGCTTTGTCTAGGGTGACATAAGTCCCAACTGCCACTGCCCACCCATGATTGCATTGGTGTGTGGCAAAGTCTTTCCTGTTTGTTTTTCTCATAAAAATGATTGCAGTTTGAAGACAGGAAGCCGACTGACCGACCGACCGATCGACCGACCGACTGACTGACAGACCGAGCGATCGGCCGACCGGCCAACTGACATCATCATTTTAACCCTAACCTTACCTTAGTGAATTAGGAAGTAAAAGTGTTGCAATGTCTGGTGGTGTGAATGAGTGGAGAGTCAGCCGTTTCCCAAAGGCAATGCCATGCCCTATGCATGCTGCCTTCCCTTCCAAAACCTCCCTATCTTAGCTGTCACTTCGAGGGAGTGACAGGGAGGGAATGTCTCACTCTCTCTGTTTTTCTGCTTTCCCCAAATGCTGTTCTAAACCATGCAAATGCTAGAAACTGCAGATGTGGGCTCTGCAGGGCTTTCTGATGCCTGCAGCATCTCCTGTGAGTTCCCCAGGCTAAGAGCTGCCTCTGGGCTCACTTGATTTGTGTGATTAAGCCTGCAGAGGGGCCTCTGCCAGGAGATATTGTAGCAGTGTATGCAGCATGGGGTTTGAAAGGCCAGCCTGCTTTTCTCTCTTATGACACTTGTTACATGTCGCCCTCCTCCTGGATCCCACTGTCAACTACACAAGCGTTTATGAAGTGTCTGGTGGAGGCTAGGCTACTCTCATCTGCTTCAGTCCTCACTTCAAGCCGGTGAGAGAATAAAAAAAAAAAAAAAAACCTCTCATCTCCATGTCATAGGGAAAGCCTGAGACTCTGAAAACTAAAGGGAATTGTGTGGCCTCCCGACTACAGAGGGAGAGTCAAGCTTAGCTGTGCAGCTTGAGAGCCCCCTGGCTCTGCTGCAGCTGCTCCTGCAGCTCCGTCTTCTACAGGTCAAACGGAGCTGGCCAGGCAGCCACTGCTCAGTCAGGAAGAAAAAAAAAAAGCAGGGGGCTTTGCATTCAGACGCTTCTCCCTAGCAACTGGTGAAGGGGCAGAGAGAGAGAGAGAGAGAGAGAGAGAGAGAGAGAGAGAGGGAGAGGGTCTCAGAGCTGATTAACAGCTAGAGACAGAACAGCTGGCCCCCCCTCTCCTGAGGGGAGCACCACGCCCTCCCCTGGGCTGCTGTAAGAACAGCAGGGCAAAAGGCTTGGTAACCAAGTGCAGAAGAGCAGAGAAAAAGCACCCCCAGACAGGTGTAGAGGCCCCAAATCTATTCTCAGGGTGGGAGGGGTTGTGCTGTTGACGACAGCACAGAGAGGACCCGGAAGAGAGAGAGGGAGCTTGCCTCCTATAAAGACCTGAGGGCCGAGCTCATACGCAAGCTGCTGTGGAGCTGCGGAGGCTGATTCACAAGACAGGGGAGGGCTGAGAGGAGCGTCTCAGTGCGTGAGCCCCAAAGCAGGCTGCTGGGGAGAGACAGAGCACTCCTACAGGAGGCACCCAAGCAGAGAGGCAGGCCGGTATGTGATAGGGATGCTGCAGCAGGTTTCTATAGCTGGCTGGGAGCCCAAATGGATAGGCTTTAAGTGAGAAGCTCCCACGGCTCCCGGTCCGGAGCAAACAGGTGGGGCTGGGTGGAGGGGACCTGGCTGGGGTCAGGACAAGGACCGGTGACCTTTGCTGTGACCTTGCCAGAGGTTAAATGGCAATGGCACCCTGAGAGGTAGCGTAGGACCACTGAGGCACAGAGGGAGAAGCATTGTGATCGGGGTGAGGGCTCAGGGAAAGTGGAGGTTGGTGGGAGCTGTCCAAATCCTTCTTAAGGGAGGGCTACCTGGAGTGGCCAAGAGTCTTCTCGGCCTGATTTTAAGACCAGGAATACTGACCTGAGTCATCTCTGAGGTAACAGTCTGGTAAAGTGGGTGGGAGGCAAAGAAAGAGGGGTCTGTCTGGCTGAGCTACCAGTTGGTCATAGGAAAAGCAGACCACTTTTCTGGAGGCTAGAACCTAGCCACAGAGTCAGATGGCTGCTGCACCATGACCTGAATAGGCTGGGGGGTGGGGGGGGGGCTTGAAAAAGCCGATTACGCAGTGGTGAAACTAAGGGACCTGCACACTGGTGTCTCTAGCCGGTGATGCTAGTCTATTAATGGGGGGGTTTACCAGGGGCTTTTAGCAGATGTACCTCTCAGCCAGACACACCTGTGCTGTTTAGTTTCTATGGGAGACTCGTGTTGTTGTTTTGGTGCTGGTACTCAGTTCATGTGCATCATGTGTGAGTGTGTACGTACATTCATGGGATAATTGCAAGGGTAGCTATGGTTTCCTGTCTGTGAAATAATCAGGATGACCTGAGCTGACTAAACCTTGGGGGGTGTGGGGGGAGAGGCACATTTCAACAGAGAAAAATATTTCAAAAACAGCAGGTAAAGAAATGAAAAATGACAGAATTGCTTGTGAAAAGTTCCCCCCCGTTTCTGCTGACTGACTGGCCAGTTCCTGACAAGCTGATCTGGGGGCCTCAAGGTCGTTCAGCTGCTCTGACCCGCCAAACGGGGGCAGCATCGTGTTGCAGGTTAGAGAGCCAGCGTCCACATAGACTGCCTGGCTGCTTCTGTGTGAAGGTAGGAAGATCTGGGGAGGCTGTCTGTACCCCCAAGAGCTTTGGCATTGGAGTGTTTTATTGGTAGTGTTGTTATGGTATTGTTTTATGATTAAAGGATTTATTTAGAGATTTGGATGTGGACATTTGACATTTGGCAATGTGACATTCACTGCCCTTGGTGTTTTATGTGGGGAGAGGGCCATGGGGGCCCAGCTTACATGTGTCTGTGTGTGCATACAGGTAGAAGTGCGTCATCACACACTCTCACAAGTTTGTGAATAAATATTTCTGGTTAGAGGTGATTGAAGACCCTGGACAGGGCTCAGATGTGATTCCCTGTGAATTTGAAAAGTCACCCAAAGTCCAGCCCAGGAGCTGGGGTCACAGGGCAGCAAGCCCTTCACCCCCTGCTGGGTAGGGAGGGGACACACCATCACTGATAACTCCTGTTGCTCAAGGCACGGGGATGAAAAACGGGCTTGAGGAGGTTGAGAAATGGGTTTCTGTGGAAAACAGGGTCGCACACGGAGGAACCATCTGCCTGACCAGTGAAGAAAGAAAACATTGAAGAGAGAGGCGTCTTTGTGCAGGCAACCAAGGAGGGTCCCTTCTGTGTAAGGGGTGACAGGCAAGTTGCAGTTTTCCCTGAACGCCCAGCACACAGAAGGCTCATATAGTCAGGGGCCGGGCTTTACTGTGCCACTGAGAAGCTAAGCTTGTGTGTGTGTGTGTGGGGGGGGGGTCATCTGGAGACCACCCCCACTGTTTCTCAGGAGTCATTCTTGCTTAAGGCAGTGAAATAAGAGCCTCCAAACGCTGCCTGTGAGCAATCTGATTTTTTTTATTTATTTATATGAAAATAAGATTCACTCCCTACCAAACTACAGGAGACCCCAATTAAAAGCAGTAGGGCAGCTGGGCTGACCCCAGGTGTTTGAGAAAGAACAGGGGTCTCTTGGGAAGGTCTATAAGGGGTCAAAAGCTTGGGAAGGGGAGCCAGGGGGGCTTTATATATTCTAGAGGCTTTTTGCTTTGCGTCTGTCTGTCAGTCATGTTCTCTGAAAAGGGAGAGCTGCCTTGAAAAGGGAGGGCATGGGAGGTGCCTGGCTGGTCCAGGCTGGGCTGGGCTGGGCTGGGCTGGGCTGGGCTGGGCTGGGGAAGAATTTTACTGTGTACCCTGCATGTGTTCCTATGCCAGATGATTTATATGAGTTATTTTTCTCAGTGACATCTCAATGGGCCTCTGTGAGAGAGATTATGGATTTTTAAGGGAAAAATGAAAGGAAGGAACCAAAGCACAGAGACACTCCTGGGCTGGCCAGAGACACACAGCATGAGTCCATTCTGTATCTGAATAAGGCTACTTATGATTGACAAGCCTACTCCCACACTAAGAAAGGTACAGACACTATCCCACCCTACACAATCAGACCTTTGACCCTAGAGGCAAGGCTGACTCAAAGACACAAATGTCCACTCTCAGCCCTTTATATTTATAGCTGTTCTGTCGCTTTCCCCATCCTACATCCTGGCACTAGAGGGCAAGAAGCAGGGTGAGAGATTATAGCCACAATGTAAAATGCATCAGGAGTATGAGGTGTATGTGTGTGCATGTATGTGCACAGGAGTGTGTCAATCCATGCGCAGTATTGCGGCGATATGCAGACTCACCAGCACCACGCAGCAGGTGACATGGCCTCAGCAGGGGGGGGGGTGTCTTCGAAGCCAGTCTCAGGAAACACAAAAGGGTCTTCTGGAAGGGGCAAAAGAACATGGTGATTAACCACCGACCCATTTTATTAATTACAGAGGGGGAAAAGGCTTAGAATAAGAAATCCTATAGGCAAGGCATCACAGTTCCAGACTGTAGTCTTGGAAATTTTGGACACAGGGTGGGGCAAACGTCTAACCACAGGGATACTAGCAGAGGTGGGGGTCCAGGCTATTCATCAGCATAAGCACAATGAGTCCTGTGGGGGAAAGGGGTGGGGGAGCATCAGGAGGGTATAAACCGTTAAGCCAGATGCTCAAAGGACTTCTGCATCGGGCTTTTCCCATCCCCTTTTTCCTCTCCCCTTGGACTATATACTGGAAGCTTTGAAAAGTCAGCTAGAGGAACGACTGGAGGGCTGATGGTAACAAAATGTTATTTTAGAAAGATTGCTCAATGAAAATAAATGGGTGGAAAGCATCTGCTAAGCAATCCCACCATTAAGGGGCTGGGGCAAACACAGTCAGGGATGCGTTCCCCGGCTCAGCCACCAGAATGTTCTGTGGTGCTATCAGCAACGGCATCAAATGCAAACGGCTTGGGCCCTTTTAATCGGCCGTCGGTTGAGCTGTATCACATTAATTAAAATGTGGGGTGTGTGTCATGCCCTCCTCGCTGATCCTTGTAGATAGCACTTTTATGGATGTATTCATGGTTCTATTTTTTAAATACCATAATGGACAAACAGGAACCCATGACCTGCCCTGATGAGAAGGATGTTGACCAGGATTCTATCTGCACGCACTCTCCGGGAAGGGAACAGGACAGCTGGCATTTTCAATAACAGAACAGGGCGTTACATACGTACACCGGAATATTAAACAGCTCTTAAAAAGCGGGAAACGCGTAAACCTATTGTCTTTTAATGGACATCTGGATTTTACAATGGACCAGATTAATCATGATCTTTTGTTCCAAGACAGTTTCCCATCGTTGGTCCAAGGCACACTGCCTTTTACTCTGCTAATGTATGCATTCATATATTCATTTGTAATAATGTCATAAGGACTCGTGAGCTCACTCCCCAGATCCAAAGCACTCAGCAATTACTTACACCTGCCAGAATAAAGGACCCCAGATTTCAGGCAGTAAGATGCTTAAATCAACTCCGGTGTATATGGAATCCGAGGTGCTGGGTGTCATCAGAAAGGCTATGGATCTTTTGTTACTGTCAACCACATTCTGGAGGGGAGGAAAACAAGATGATACAAAATGCTAAAGGGACAGCACTAGCTCTGAAATAGCCTCTGTACAAAAGAAACCAAGTCGCAGACTCTGGAAATATATGTTTAGACATGTACAGATGTACAGAAAAATGCAGGAGCCCAGGAGGACCACTGCAGCTAAATCGAGGAGGAGGCTGAGGGTGAGGGAGGGGCTAAGTCGTGCAAGCACTTTGATTTTTAGTACCAGCAAATTAATTAGCAGTACATTTGCTGTACAATTACAATAAATATTTTGCATGGTGAGGTTTTTTTTTTCTAGTGGCTTTTTGTTGTTGTTGTTAATTCTTTTGGAGGTTTTTACTGGCAAAACAAAAAGAAAAAAAAAATCAAATGCAAGGAGCAATTTAGCCAACAAAATCTGAGTAAGCTATGGGTGCCAAAAGCAAGTTCTGAACACAAAGGGACTCAAGGTTTATCTTTTTCTCTTCCTTTTTTTTTTTTTTTTAATTTTTTTTTTTCCTGTGCTTCTGCACTGAAGCCCCAGCCTGGCTCAGCCTGTCAGTGACATGTAGCCAGCAGGTGTGAGCCTAAGGCAATGATTTCACTACCAATTCTACCCTCAGAGTCTGCAATGTACCCGTGGGGGAACATTTTCCTCTTTGGTCCTTAAGAGGCCCAGAAAGCTAAGGCGCTGGCCCGTGTTCGAGGGGATTAGCTGTATGGAATGGGAACTCCAGGGGAATGTGACTTGAGATAGATGTTGGCAAAAGGGGACATGGTCCTCTAGAAAAATAGACACAGCAGCCACATGTGTTTCAACTGTGGAGCCTGCTTGCTGGCAAAGAGCCGGGGGCCTTGCTACGTGCCCTGACAGTTTGACTCTTAAGCAATACACAGCATTACCATGTACCTTCAGAGTCTAACGCAGAGGGTCCTGCCGTCAGCATCACTAAATCACCTAGGTAGTGCATAGCATAGCACGCTGAATTCCTCAAGAAGACCCCTTCTCTCCAAGGTACCCCAAGACTCGCTCACATACTGAGTTTCAGACCTAGCTAGTAAAGCCCTCTGCAGCTGTCAGGGGCTGTCAGGATCTCAGAATGTTCATCGGGCCGAGTGTGTGACAAAGATAATATGATTACACCCACATCTTCAGAGAAGCACTTGATGCTCAGAGACCCCCCGGAACAACAAGAAAAAAATTAACCCTTTCTAAACTCAGCAGTCGGGAGGCTCATCTACCTTTGTCTGCCTTTGCAAAGCCGCTGTTTCAGTCACTGACTCCTCTGAGGAAACGCAGACCAGTTTCCTCCTATGACTTTAGGCAGGGAAAAATAAAATTTGAGATACGTTAAGTAGTGTTCTGCCTTTATGGCCAGTCTGTAATCACTACAGACAAATGTATTTATTTAATCCATACGATTTGTGGAATGGGCTCTGCACCTGTGAATACCTTGTGGCAATAGGCAAGGATTTCACAAATGCAAAAATATTTTTATGACATATATATATATAAAATTTATATAATTTTTTTAAAAGACTGAAAAACAATATTCAGATGGAGACTCCCTATGCTTGTCCTGCAGTTCAAGGTTACTTCCAGGGGGGAAACAGGACAACACCAGTAAAAGCTAAAGTTGCCTCCGGAAAACACCACCCACCCTGGGTGGGGGTGGGGGGCAGGGAGGGGGTGACTTTCCCAACATTGCTTTCCTGTTTGGCCCTTTTCCTTTGTTTTACAATGAATTCCAAAATACTGAGAAGGGCTTATAAATGGGCAGCGAGCATGAAGCCCCTCTAACAGTCACCTTTGCAAGGGGCAAGGACTCGCCACCTCTACCAGGTATTTTCTCTTTTGCTTTATTTCAGATAGACCCGGGCATTGCTTCCCTGATCTTACAGAGGGTGTTAGCAGCTACAGTCAGGGTTCTAAAATCTTCCACCAACTAAAAGGGATTTCCCTGGGCCTCTAGCCCCCATCAGGGGCATCATAATGGTCAGCAACCTCTCTGCAGGTAACTAAGCCTCCCTTAGTTACACACAGAGAGACAAGGGTACCAGCTTGTTAGGGGTGTGGGACCTCTATTCCTCTAGGAAGCCCCTTCCCCTCAAAAGAACCATGTACAAGAGAGATGCGCTTACCAACCTGGCAGGGCACTGAATCTGGGCGGTTGATTCTCCATGGTCACTTAGGACAACTCACCCTGGAAGGGACCAGGGCTCCCTCAGGAATCACTAGCCCCCTGCCCCCTAAGGGGCAGTGAGCCATAGCTGCAAAATGAAGACCTACAGTTAGTTCCATTCTGGAAAGAAAATCTACAAATTTGCAAGTTCTCTAAATTAATATTTTAGAAGATAAGAGAACATGCTACAGACCTTTTTCTGTGATCCTGGGCCAGGCATTTGCTCCTTTCCTGGGAGAAAGCAGCCATCTTATCTCTGGGCTACCTAGAAGGAGGAGAAGAGAAATCACTCACTGACTAAGAATGAGAGTCAGGAGTCCCCTGCCTCCCTGAGCCCTTGCCTCAAGCTTCACTGCTACCGGTAGACCTACTGTGTGCTGGAAACAAACGGGGCTAAGGCAACAACTGCTTATCAATCCTGGGATCTAAGAGATCACTGGGGACTGTTTTCATCGAGAAGAGGGGGATCATCTTAGAAACAATTGTCCCTGTCAGGGAAGGTGATAGGGAAAAGAAACTGGGGTGCCAAATTCATATCAAATCTATTAGCTGGAGAACCAAAGGGACCCTCCATGATTGCTGCGTGCCCGTCTTAAGGCAAAAATCTTTTTCTTGGTCTTCAATAGGACTGTCAGGCCCACATGAGGTAGTGGCATTTTCCCTAAGCCTCACGCTCCTGTTTTCAACTGCGGGAATTTGAAAAAGTGACGACTTCACAGATCATCCTAAGGAGTGAAGGCAAAAAAAAAAAAAAAAAAAAAAAAAAAAACAAAAAACAACAACAAAAAAAAAAAAAAAAACCTCAAGTGTCATGCCTGGCACAAGGGAAATATATAGAATGGCAGAGATGTCTCAAGACAGTAATCCTGTTTTGGGGACTAGGTGGGGGGACTAGGGTGTTACAACTGGATAATCCTTCCATAACTAAGACAACATATTTATCCAACAGCTTTCAGCAAGAAGCAGCAAGACTCCAGCAGGACCACCGGAGATCCACTTGGACTCTTCCAGCCAAGGTAGGCAGGGGTAGAGGTCCCATGTTGGCCTCTGCCCAGGGTAGAAGGAGTTACCTGGTCAGTGGAGAGGGTATGGCCATGCTCAGGTCTAAAGGTTAAAGGTTAATTTGGGCATGTACTGGGGTACTCAATACCACCACTATTCAAATACTTGAGCAGTTATAATTAGTGGCGCCTGGACCAGCTGTCTTATCCTATCCTGTCCCTCTGTTGACATCATATAAGCCAAAATGAATCTGGAATGACAGCAGGAGCCTTTTGGGGCGATGGAAGGAGACAGTGAGGCCCCCACCTCTACGTCTGGCTGCCTGTCACACTGACTGCATCAACAGCATGGAATGAAGGCATCCTTTGGCCACAAGGCCCTCCAGGTCCCCAAATGGCAAATGCCTGATCCCTCTTTGGGTACCTGTTTCTGCCTATGCCATCTACCAGGGGGCAGGAACCTTACTGGGTGCTGGGAGTTCGCACCAAAGCCTACGAATGTCAGTTTCATTCTGCAAAGTGGTGAGGAAACCCTTCCAACCATGACATTAGAGGCTAAGAAATCAGCGCTGGGCAGATTTCATTCTGATTGGAAAATTCTAGTTAGTCCTGTCTGTGGCACAAAGGCTCTAGATGTGACTGGAGGATCCCTTAGGTCTTCTGCATGGCCCTACCCTGTCCTTTATGGGATAGTCATGAGCACTGTATGCAATGTGTAAGCTGGTTGTCACAGGAAGGAGTCTGTGATCTTGTTACTGATAAACCAGGGTCCTGGAGAGCCGGTCCACCCTCTGATTCTAGTGGAATCTCTTTCAGTACAGAGCTTGCTCCCCTCACTGGGGCTAATGGGAACACTAAAGTTGATAACACATGTGCAATGCTATATAAATCTTGACCTCTGCAATTAGAGTGTGTGATTTAAACTCAATGATCACATAACACCTAATAACAAGAACAGGCCAGAATCCTACATTGTTTTTCCACAGTTTACAGAGGAAATGCCTCCTTCCCATTCTAAATGGGCAAAGAAAGGGTTATAGCTGTACCTCTCACGACCCTTAGGATGAATTCTTTCTGCCTTGAGGTCACCACCTCTAAGATCCAACATACTGTCAACCTTATACCTGCAGTCACTAAGGTGTGACCACGTTGCCAAAACCATACCAGGCGTAGCGACGAGCTTGCCAGGGCCCAGCAGGAATTGTAGATTCAAGGCAGGTGGAAGGAGAAGCCAACCTAGAAATTTTCAATCATTAATTACATTAGAAGACTTTGACTTAAATAAAAGCAGGACCCTGATTTCTAGGTGTGGCTATTAGAATCAAGCAAGAACGGGGGTCCCTGAACCCCACCTGCTCCCTGAGGCTATGACCTTGCCCCCCCCCTCGCCCCCTGCAATGGTCTGGGCAGCCTTGAGTCCCACTCAGACACTCCAAAAGAAAGTAAGAAAGCCAAAGGGAAACTGAGGGGCAGGAAAAAAAAAAGGTCATGTGCAAAGTCAAGGCTCCAGCAGGGCTAGCAGCTGCGCAGACTCCATCTCTGTCCAAGGCTCATCTCTGCCCATATGCCTTGAAAGGCAACTTTAGGCACAGGAGCAGCTGATTGGCTCTGCAACTGGGCAGCCCAAAAGAAGAAGGGTGTGCTCCTGCATAGCCCCACAGCCCCTCCCAGAGTGGCACACTCACCCCCCTCCACAGTTATTCTGGGAGAGTGATCCAGCTGCCCCCCAAGCTGCCAGTCGAACATGGATGGGCCAGGACACAAGGCTTCTGGGTCAAGGGTGCAGCTCTGCCTCTGGATGCAACAGGCTAAAGGTCTGCTGCTAGAGGCTTCCTACCCTGGTAAGAAGCTCAAGATTACAACAGACCTCCATCTACCTATTTTAATTAACTCTCTACCTTGAGTCATTAGATTCTCCCTTCAAAAAAAAACAAACACAAAAACAAAAACAAAAAACAAAAAAAACAAAATAACAAAAACTTAGTTGCCTCATCCTAGGGAGGAAGGCATGATGATTGAAGATTTCTATCCAGGCCACAGAGCGGGAAAAACAAGTTGGCTGTATTTCCCTGAGCAGAAAACTGAAGGCTCTCTCCTCTGAGATGAGCCAGGGTAGAATGGGTAGACAAGTGGGTAGCCCTGCAGACTACAGTGCCACTGGGACCATGGCATTTGACCAGAGCTCTTTGTTTGGGCTTTTACGAAGCCCTGCTAAGGGTATGGCTTTGTCCACCCAGCAAGCTGAATAAGAAGAGGGGCCAAAAACACTCTTCTCCAGCAGGGAAACCAACAAGGATCCAGAGTTCCACCCGCCAAGGGCGCATCTTGACCCTGGCATTTGTGAAAAACAAAATAAGTAAATAACATAATTTGTGCCCCTTACTGTCCTGGCACGCCCACCCCTGTTCTAGTGCTCCATGTCCATCCATGCCATCGGAAGGACAGGGCAGTGGAGTTAGTGACAGAAAAGTCTTTATTCGGACAAGACTTAGTCCTTAAGGCCTGAAGGCTTAAGTGCCACTTAGGTGCCACTGAGTGACTCATATAAGAAATCCAAAATAACAGGGGGTCCTCATCCTGCAGCCAAGACATCAGCTATGGCAAAAGAACATCTCTGAGAGCCATGGCTGCCCTTAGCTCATCTACGTGACTTCATAGTCCTCCTGAGCTCTTGGGGGCCTCCCGCCCTCCTCCTCTGTCTTCACCTTTCCCCTAATTCCTCCGCCCTCCCCCCGCAACCCCCCCCAGCCCATGCTGAACACTCAACTCTGCTCTCCTAAATATCTTCTCCTCTTGTCTTCCAAGCTCTATTTTTAAAAGCAGATTTCCTTTACTGTACAGGGAAAGGTATTCGCTGAGGGATTTGCCCCCCCCAGCCCCCCCCTCACTGAACCCTTCATAGATGCTCTGTGGCAGCCCTGACCCCATGGGCCACTTGCTCAGAGGCAAGCAAGGAGCTGAACTGACCAAGTCTCGCTCGGGGCACTAAGAGTGGTGAGACTGGGGTGTCTGTCTTGAATGTTATGGGGCAGAGGGTCTGACAAGGACCCAAAGGGTACCTTCCAACTCTAAGCGCTAGGTCTAGATTTTGATAGGACTTTTCAAATCAAAGACATTAGGTAAGGTTCAAGAACATACATTGAGACAAAATGGAGCAGCATTCCGTCTTCGGAACATAGAGGCAAGCAGGGTGGGCTGGTGGAGAGCAGGAGCCAGGTGAAAAGAAAGTGATTGTCAAAAGACAGCAGAGTGCGAGGACAACAATTCCGACATTCCCCAGGTACACTCAGAGAAGCAGATCCTGGAGCTGGACCACCTGGTGTAGCAGTTCCCTCCTCTTGTTCTCCCTCAGCAGAGCCTTGATGTCCATGGCACAGTGTTTGCCTCCCGGCTGCTGGTGGGCTACATGGTGGTACCGTCTCAGGTTCTTTGGAGGTCCAAGCAGGATTCCTAAGCCAAAAAAAAAAAAAAAAAAAAAAAGAGAAAAAAAGAAAAAAGACTGTTGGGTGAACTGAAGACTAAAAAAATACAAAATACAAAAACTTTTTCATCGTAAAACAAGATCAATATTGGCTTAGAAAAGGTGATACAAAATTGAGTCTTTCAACAAGAACGCCTGTGGAGAAATGAGTTAGGAAGCTATACACAGTTAAAATTCATATTTTATGCAAAACAATTTAAGCTCTCAATGTCCCAGAACAGGGAAGCACCTATATATTTCAACAGGAGATATACTTCCTCCAGACTCTATTTTGCACTAAAGCACTTAGGTTTATGTCAGGGGCAGGAAGTTTCAAAGGTCGGAGAATGGAGAGTTGGAAGGAGGGTATCCTGCAAAGACGGTGGGATGTTTTAGTGTTACTGGAAATGTATGAAAAGATTTTAAGCTGGAGTTTTGTGAATCAATTTGAGTTTCTGGGATAGAAATCTGGACCTTATTTTGAGAAATCAAAAATTTCTGTCTCACTAAGGGCTTTGGGCTTCTGCCAAAAGGCTTTAAAAAAAAAAAATGGTGAGATCGCTTGCTTGTTGGAGATAAGCTTGTAGAACACATGATAAAACTTATTTTATGGCTAACAGCTTTGGACTTTATTATTACAAGCAACAAAAAAACACAGAGAAATCATAAATAGGAAAGCTAACAGGCACACATTTAAGATGGTGCCCAAACATTCTAACTTTGTATGCTGAGACAATGTCAAAGTTTGACTCTCGGGGTAGGCCAAGGGGATATGATTAATGTTGACACCCAGGCAAGGTTTTAATTAGAGGAGTTACATGGCCGAGTTGGGGACTATGCAGAGAAGTTTGGAATTTATTTAGAGGCTCAGATGTGATGAGGGTTTTGCACATGCTTAAAAATTTGATTTATCCAACTCTAACAGAGTGACATGGTGAGTTTTCTGTGTTTGATACATATAACATAGCTTGGTTATGAAATCAAATTCTTGCTGTATGCCAAGAATCTAGACTTTTTATGTCCTGTACAATTAAAAGACATTGCCGAGTCTTTAAGGTGGGGTTGCAAGCTCAAATTTAATGAACTGTGCTAAGACGTGAGAATTTTATTCTAAGGGATGACGTATCAAATTATAATATCACTTGAATAAGTTTGGACTTGAGCCAGCAAACGGCTTCAAAGTGTGATGGGGGAAGATTTGTTGTTTTTTTTTTGTTTTTTGTTTTTTTTTTTTTTTTTTGGTACGTGACATGATAAGATACTGTCTGTTGAGAATTTGGGGCTTTATGCTCCATAGAAACTTTGCAACGTTTTAAATCTGGGAGTAACGCCTTACAGCATGTGAATTCAGCAGAGAAGGGAGTGGACCTTGTAATATATTTAGGAGATTTGACCCATGTGCACATTGAAGGCACTGTTGAATCCTGAGTGAGGGGTGAGATATCATTTTGGATACTTTTGCATGGGGGTGGGGGTGGGGGGCTGCGGGGCGCTTGGAGTTTGGCCAAAGAAGGATTTTAAAGGGTGAAAAGTTTTGTCTCCAAAGGAATCTGTTGATTTTAAAGTGTGCTTTACGGTAAGGTGTGTGGATTTGACGAAGTGTTTAAAGCATGGGTGACCGTCCACTGGCTCCTCAGTACAAGGGCATCGAGTGAGGTTTCGGTGTTGAGAAGTAGGATTACCTACAACAGGTGGGGCTGAGAGGCTGTATGACATTTACATAGCATGACAAGTTCGACACGGTATTGAGGAATTCAGGGAGTCCACTGTCATGCCATGCTAAGGAATTTGGATGTCAGCCATGATGAGATTTTTTAGGAGAGTGATATCATAAACTTTGCATGTTGGATAGGCTCAGACTGCTGAGAAACGTAAGGCTTTATGTTCACACTTTAACACTTGGTCTCCTAGGTAAGGGGACCAAGGTCTGTGACTCCGTGAGCAAGATATTGGGCAAGTGCATGCACTTTATCCAAGAAGCGTGACTTTTGTTACCGTGTAAGAGCTTTGGAATGAAGGCTATCAGAGATTTCTAGAGTGGCCCATGAAACTGTGGATTTTGTATTGATTATGTTGATTAAATCACATGGTTAAAAAAATAATTTATGCTAAGGAACTGGAACTTCATAGTATAGAAATGTGTGTGTGTGTGTGCACGTGTGTGTGAATGCGTGCCTTAAATAGGGAAAATTATAAGATAAAAATTGTTTATCTCACTAAAAGTTTATTCTGGTATCCAGGTATACTAAAATTTTTAGAACAAGAGATTTTTTTTTTTTGGTTGAGGGCTGGAAAGCAGAAATATTTAATTCCTTACATGATCAAATTTGTTAGTAAAAGTTTAAATACAGGCATTTTATTACGAATGGTATCATTTAGCTTTGAAATCGGATTGCTACAAATTTAAAATTGAAACCATGAGCAATTTTTAGGGGGAGACCTGCTGAGATTTTTATATCCAAGGAATGAACTTGTGGATGAATTAGTCAAATTTCACATTTCAATAATACCAGTCCTTTCCTGAAGAGGAAATGAGTTGCTTTATCCACTATGCTTGTTTTCTGAGATGAATGTCTGTACAGCGGCCTTAGGAACTGGGATCTCTAACTTGAAGAATGACAAGTCCGGCTTGTGCCTTATGCTAAGGCCTTTCCATTTCAGCCAGAGAAGTTTTTTTTTTTTTTTGGGTAAGTTTACATGTCTGACATGTTTATATAAAAGGTTTGGATTTAATATTACAGAGAGTAAATAAACAATGAGAGGCTTTAATCAGAGGGATTGCATGATCAAATTTAAGTGTCATGCTAACAAGGGTACATCTAGTTCTGAGAAACTCCAGACCCAATTGTATCCTGCTGGCCAATGGGAGTTTTACACGAATGACAACATAGAGATTTTTGTTTATTTGGTTGTGTGGTGTGTGTGTGTGTGTGTGTGTGTGTGTATGTTTTCAGTTTTGGATAGGTCAGCTCAGTGGCCTTAAAAAAGAAAATTGAGAAGTAACAGAAGGTGTTGAATTCATAAAGACAATAGCTGTAAGGCTGAGCTATTGAATAACTAGCTTAATTTGTTTTGCAAACCAATACATCCCTTTAAATTCAATTTCCGCGCACTAAACCATGGCTAGATTTTCAAAAATTACAGAACAATCAGATTTCAAAGGTCTCAGGCCCCCTTTTACCCAACTTCATACCTCTGTTAGATATACCCCTGTACTAGACAAAATCAACAGTGACAGAGAAAGGGGGGCACTTTCGAGACCAAAAACCCTGGCCCTCCCTGAGCAGAGGAGAAACTTGGACAGATAGCAACCGTGAGACGTGCAAAAATGTTTGCATGAGCAGAATTGAGGCCAGATGTTTGAAGCTCCAGGAGCCCTGCAGACCAGAGCAATCCTGAGAGAATAGTTTTTTGAAAGGCTGGAAAGGGAGGTTAGAAAGCTCCAGCTCAGCTCAGAGAAGCTCAGAGAAGTGGCTTTGGACAGAACCCAAACTGAGTAAGAGAAATGACAACACCCTGCAATCCTGCATGTGCACATAGTGTGACCCAGGATGGAGCAGTGCAAGTGCCAAGTTTTCAGCACACAGTAGGCATTTTATAAACATTTATGGGGAGCAAGATAAAAACCAAAAGCCACGGCTCTCTCCCACTTATTTCGGCTTGGAGTCTGGAGGAGGAAACCAGAGCTATTTTTGGCTGTTGACCCAACTGGCAGGATAGTGGCCAAGTGCCCGATTTCTCCTCTTTCCCCAGAGTTTGTGAAACACCAAACATCTCCCTGCAGATTCCTGCCTTTAACCAAGCACGCTGGGCTGGCTCTAGATCACCAAGCCTGCCAGCAGAGGCTTTGAGTGGCATTGAGATGTGACCCTTATGACTTTTGGGTGACTGGAGATGGGAAGGGAAACTGACCAGACATGGGTGCCAGGGCAAAATGGGCCAGAAGTGTGGCCTGCCAGGTGCTTGCTTGCCACAGAGGGTGCTCTGGGCCAGTTGCTCCACAAAATTTATGGGCTGTGAATTTCTCATTCCACTGAGGAAGTAGGCAGGCAGGGCAGTCAGACTCTGCCTGGAAGGCAGGTCAGGGGTTGACAGTCTTTCCCCTGGAGGTGCCCCAAGTGAACATGACTGTACACTGCATTGAATGCAGGAAGGATTTCTGGTTTTTTTCTCTGATTCTAATAACTTGGGCATCTGCTTTGTCCTTGAGAATCTGACTCTTACATCTTGAGACCCTAAATTGCTCCTTTTTCTCCTGCTTTTTTTTTTTTTATCCCTCGGTCTCTAGGTTCTGGTCTCCACGGTCACGGTCTCTGACCACACCCACCACAATCTTACCAGTCTTCAGAGCACACTCCTTTCCAACCGACGACATGATGGAACCCTCTGAAGACTCATTTGAGACGATGATGGAGCTTAAGAATCCATCATCAAAACAAATGGAGTCCTCCGAGGGCTCATCCAACACCGTTGAAGAAGCACCAGGCAGCAGCGGGGCGCAGGCGGGGGCACAGGCCGGCTCAGACAGTGGCCTGGCCCAGGAAGAAAAGGAGCCACCCAGTGGCCCCCTCCAGGAAATGCAAGAGCTGCCCACTAATCTAATCCAAGACGAGGAGGAGCCATCCAGTGGCCCTCTCCAGGAAATGCAAGAGCTACCCACTGATCTAATCCAAGACGAGGAGGAGCCATCCAGTGGCCCCCTCCAGGAAATGCAAGAGCTGCCCACTGATCTAATCCAAGACGAGGAGGAGCCATCCAGTGGCCCCCTCCAGGAAATGCAAGAGCTACCCACTGATCTAATCCAAGACGAGGAGGAGCCATCCAGTGGCCCCCTCCAGGAAATGCAAGAGCTACCCACTAATCTAATCCAAGACTCATCGGAGGAGCCAACAGAGGAACCGTCGGAGGAGCCGACAGAGGAACCGTCGGAGGAGCCGACAGAGGAACCGTCGGAGGAACCGACAGAGGAACCGTCGGAGGAGCCGTCAGAGGAACCATCCAGTGACCCCTGTGAGGAAAGAGAAGACCAACCCAACGACCTGCCCCAAGCCATGGAGGTATCGAGTGATGGTGGTACGAACCAGGAGTCGAGTGATGGTTCAAACCACGAATTAAGTAATGGTTCAAACCATGAGTCGAGCTTTGGTTCTAACCAAGAGTCAAGCGACGTTTCCAACCGGGTGTCAAGCGGTGATTCGAACCGGGTGTCCAGCGATGATTCGAACAAGGAGTCGAGCTATAGCTTGAACCAAGAGTCAAGCGATAGTTCAAACCTCGAATCAAGCGACGGTTCAAACCATGGCTTAAGCGTTGGTCCAAACCAGGGGTCAGTCGACAGTACAAACCAAGAATCAAGTAATAGCTCAAACCAGGGAGGGTCGGATCCACTCAGTGAGGCATCCGATTACAGTATGGATGAAGCAAACAACTCATCCAAGACCCAGTCAGATCAAGATGATACTGACCTGAGAGATGGAGGAGAGGAGGAAGACGAAGATCCTGAAGATCCTGAAGATCCTGAAGATCCTGAAGATCCTGAAGATCCT